ATCTGTGAAGATTTTTAAAGATGGATTGAAGATAATTTATTATTATTATTATTATTATTATTAATTCTGCTCTATCTCCTTGAAGGGTCTCAGGGCAGATTCCAAATATAAAAGGGAAATATTCAATGCCCAAATACAACAACAATACATCCATACTAGCAAAATTTTAACATCCCAACATATGTAAACACAAATTATAACTTAACAAACTAAAATTAAATAAAAAACACAGCCTGTTATAACAAACAAAAGACAAAATATCAAACATTGAATGGAAACAAAAAATTCTCATTTCCTTGAGGCAAATCAATTAATCATTGCTCAAGATATCTATTGAGCTGGTGGGGTGAGCAGGGCAAGGATATGGATGGCAACTATTAATCAGAGGTATAATGGTAGTATTACCAACTACTATTCCTCCTCCTCGTAAGCCAGTGAGCAAAGGTATTTCTTCGGCTGTTTCTTGAAAGCGAGGAGGGAGGGGGCCATCTTTAACTCCTTAAGAAAGGAGTTCCAGAGATGGGTAGCCACGGAGAAGGCCCTTTCCCTCGTTCTCACCAGCCATGCTTGGGACAGGGATTGAAGTTAGAGGAGGACCTCCTCTGATGATCTCAGTGTCCAAGTTGGTCTGTAGAGGGAGATGCAGTTTGTCAAATAGTCTGGACCTAAGCAGTTTAGGGCTTTAAAAATAAGAACCAGCACTTTGTATTTAGCTCGGAAGCAGAGTGGCAGCCAGTGGAGCTGCCGCAACATGGGAGTGGTTCTCTCCCTGAATGGTGCTCCAGTTAGTAACCTGGCTGCTGATCTCTGGACCATTTGAAGCTTCTGAACTACCTTCAAAGGCAGCCCCATGTAGAGAGTGTTGCAGTAGTCCAAACGGGCATGGACTACCATGGCCAAGTCAGGCGTCTCAAGGCACGGGTGCAGCTAGCACACAAGTTTTAACTGTGCAAAGGGGCTCCTGGCCATCGCTGACATCTGGGGTTCCAAGGCTAAGTCTAGGATCACCCCCAGACTGCAGACCTGTGTCTTCTGGGGGAGTGCGACCCCATCCAACACAGGCTGTAATCACACACCCCAATCTGCTTTACAACTGACCAGAAGTACCTCCGTCTTGTCTGGATTTAGTTTCAGCTTGTTGGCCCTCATTCAGTCCATTACTGAGTCAGGCACTGGTTCAGGACCAGAACAGCATCCTTGGCATTTGATGGAAAGGAGTAATTGAGTTGGGTGTCATCCTCATAAATTTGACACTGAACTTCAAAACTCCTGATGATCTCCCAGCGGTTTCATGTAAATGTTAAGCAGCATGGGTGACAGAATTGAACCCTGAGGGACCCCACAGGCCACCAGCCAGGGAGTTGAACAGGAGTCCCCCAGCTCCACCATCTGGGTCCACCCCTCCAGGAAGGACCGGAGCCACTGCAGAACAGTGCCTCCAAGCCTCATCCCAGAGAGATGGCCCAGAAGGAAACCGTGGTCGATGGTATCGAAAGCCGCTGAGAGGTCCAGGAGAACCAGCAGGGATACACTCCCTCTGTCTAGCTTTCTTCGTAGATCATCCAGCAAGGCAACCAGTGCCATTTCTGTTCCGTAACCAGTCCTGAAACCAGTTTGAAATGGATCCAGAATATCCCTAACCACTCGAAACAGCTCTCTTGGGTGCGGTTCTTTGCAGATGCAATGTTGGTGGCTATAAGTGAGAGGTGACTTAATGGTGGAGGGTTATTCAATGCATTGGTTTGCCTACAGACAAATCAACAAACAACATGGGATTAAAGATGGGATTAAAAATGTACTTGACACAGTTAAATTAGAATATGGAAATTTACTGTGTTCAAGTGATGAGCATATGATTATTCAAACATATACATTGCTGTTAAAATATTGACGAGTAGAAACAAGTGAAAGATTGTATGGTCAAATGGGCTTAATATATGTGGTATTTCTTCCATTGTAAGATGCCATCGATTATAAGATGCACCCTAATTTCGCTACCACCAGCATCAACAATATACATAAGATACACCTGCAATTCTAAGACACACCCCATTTTTAGAGATGTTTATATAGGAAAAAAGTGCATCTTAGAAATACAGCAGGTATACAAATACAGTTGAAACCATGGGAGAAGGTGTAAGTAAAGAGTCTGAAGTTTACTTTGAGTAATGGTTTAAAATATTTTTTATAAGATGATGCACACATGTATTCAACACTGGAAGGGGTTTTTAAGATGTAAAAGGGCAGCCCAAACAATTGTTGAAAATGTGAACCCAGTATCACATGCAGTGGTTTTGCAGAAAGGCCCAGAACTATTGCACTCAAAAGATATTATTAAGGCTAAATTTAAGATGAGGCTATAGTTTTATTTGTTGGGGGTGCTGGGTGGTCATTTTTTAAAAATTGGGGGAATGATACAGTATATGATAACGGCTACAATAATTGCATATTCCTAAATGCCCCAAAGTGAAAGAAACTAGTTACCCCAACGCAAGAATAACAGCTAGTGAAGACCTGTGAATGAGCTGATGAATTGACTGTTGATTAAAAAGAAATCTTTGATTGATTAAAAAAAAAAGATCAGGAACTGCTCATCACAATTTTGTAACAACAGTGGGGGCATTTATCAATTACCTAAAGTAGAAGTATGATTATATTATGATTTAAAGGGAGTAGATCAGTAAGGGCAATAACTATCAGATCAGGAAGTTTACAGTTCTTTTTGTTTTGTTTTGTATGTTTTTTTTTCTCCAGTTGCCGTTTAGTTATAATGGATAGAATGTAGTCGTGTAGTTGTATACCTAAAAAGCTTGTTTGTTTTATTTTGGGTTTTTTTTTCTTGAATAAAAATGATTTTTAAAAAATGATTCTCCCCTTGAAAAAATACTCCTGTTAAAGGATGTGTGATAGCATTGGATTTTTTAAATGTTCTACTCATATTCTGCAGATTTATTTGAAAGTTTCTAATGCAGTTTTTACTTCCTTGTAACAAAAGTTAGTCCAAAAGATTTTCACATACTATTTTACAGTATACTGTATTATTGACAATGAATGTTTTTGTGCATTCAGTATAGTAAATAATTGCTAATCAAACAGTCCTTTTGTTAAAGTTAGAGTAGCAAAAGCTCATATTTTACTAATGTAACAGCTGTTGATGTGTATGAATAACTTTTTGATTGTATCACTTAACTGCAAGCGATAATGCATACAGATATACTTCAGTTATAACAAAGTAGAGATGATTAGAGATAGTCCCTCTTTAACTGAAAATCTAGTACCACAGGGGGAAAATAAGATAGGAAGAGTAGGTTCCTAAACCACAGAAAAGAAGAGCAGTTCAATGTGTTTTAGCAAGCTGTTTGTTTCAAACTAACATTAGATACATGCAAAATTAAACAATCAGGTCTAGTAAGTGTTGCATAAGTAAACAACATATTTTGAATCTTCTAAAGACTGCGAAAGCTGTTTTTAAAATGAATTCAGGGATTACTCTCTCTATCATTCTCAATTTTTTCCATTTTGATGGGCAGATTTTTAGGCTGGGGGTATCTGATGAGGCAAGCTTACCTATTCTTCCTGTTTCTCTCAGTGTGGTTGTTTGTGCAGTGCTTAGTAATACTGTCCTAAAACATGCAACATATCTTACATGTTTTAGGTCAGTGTTTTACAAACTGCATGTGTTTTGGACTTCAGCTCCCAGAATCGATGATCATTGACCAAGGCAACTGAAGCTTCTTGGAGCTGCAGTGCAAAACACATGGGGGACTAAAGTTTGAGATCACTATTTTAGGACTAAAGTTGGATCAGCTAGATCAGAATCCCATTATTTCCCAGAGAGAAACCTATATTATTCATTGCAGACATTCTGCCTTAACCCAACAAGTTAGGTTTCTCCAATCCTCCTTCACCTCCCTCTTAGTACCACTACTGTTAAAAAGACTCGCAACTAGACAATAGATGAAAGAAAGAGACTTCAACAAGTGTAAAAAAAACCCTCTTTGCCAGAGGCTTTATTAACTGAGGCACCTAAGCTTATTAGGAATATATGCAGAATTGGATGGCTCAACTAATATGCTCACAAGTTAAGTTTAAAATCATACACACAGACACACACTGTATTCCACCAATTCTAAGGTGCACTTTTCCTGTGTTAGGGACTCCAGCAAACAGGGTGCGCCTTACAATCAATGGCACCTTAGATTTGTTGAGGTTTTTTCATTTGGCTTATCTCCAAGAGAGAAGGAAGAAGGTGTCCAGCCTTAAATGGCTATGATTTGGGGGCTTTCCTTTTCAAACTACCTTACCCCTGAGGGAGGAGGAGGAAGGGTTCCAGCCCCAAATGTCTCCGCTGGCCTCCACCATTTTATCTGCAGCTAGAAAAAAAAGACATATGCAGACAAAATAAATTCCAGGTTGAAGCAAAAACATGGTATTATTCTAAAAAATATTATAAGAATACCCCCCCCCCCCAAATTAAAGCTTCAAAATGGGTGATGGTGTTGCAGCATAGGTTGGTGGCACCTTAGGTTAGGTGGAATACAGTGCATGTGTAGGTACATAGTAGTTGGAAGAATTGTAATCTCTAGGTCATCTAGCTATAGCAAATACCATGCTTTTAAAGTTGTTAGTAGCATGTTCTCTGTTTGGTTCCTGAGCAGAATGCTTAGCAGGGAAACAGCTGTAGTGTGGATTCTGATCCTGGGTCCAATATGTTGTATAATGGCTTTACATAGAATTAGATATGACTTGACTGAAACAGCAGTTCATAAATTGCCTGAGATTTTTTGTTGCATCTGTTTCTTTATGTACATTGCAATGAGTTATATTTGGAAATAGCAAATTAGTATTTAATTTTATTAATACTTATAAATACCCATATAAGTAAAGTACTGATCATTAAGGTGCACTTAAGCAGAATCCGTTGGGTTTGACAGTGTAAATGATTAAGGAATGCGTTTGATGTTTTTAAAGATGACATAAGGTTGACTCTTCCTTTGTAGGCTTGAAATCTCGAGATGAATTGTTGGCTTATTCACCACCAAAGGATGCATCTGAAAATGATCCACGTGTAATTATTAGGCGAAGAAATTCTGATTATCCATCTACATGCTCTGCATTTTCAGACTCACAGGAGAGAAGATTAGAAGATGAAGTAAATACAGAGCAAGAGACAAAATTTGAAGAACAGTTTGAAACTGAGACAAATGACTGTGTGTCGAATTCCATAAGTGGACTAATAGAAACAGCAATATTAGAAGAATACACTCTATTTACCAGTAAAATTCAGGAGATGTTGAAGAAGAAGAATATTATTTATGCCAGTAGAATATCCAGACCTGTTATTTCAGCCAAGGAAAGAGTTATGAGACTTTCTGAATATATATGTTTACAGGCATCGGATATTGCTGTCCAAGAATATGTAGAAAGACTGAGTGAAAATCTCAACAATGTTATTTTGTCAGCTTCATGTGGCATCCAGAGTGTTCCCCTTACTGGCAATTCTGAACTGGTAAATGACTCAGATGATACTGAATTGAATCTGCCATCAGAAGAGATTGAGCCTCTTTCAGGTGACCTTGATGTGGCGCAATTTCCAGAGCCACCATGCAACAAAGTGGAAAGAGATTCATTCATTGATGAACAGGATCACTTAGCAACCTTGGACACAGGAAAAGAACACAGCCCACTGAGTGCCAACATAGAAATGAAGTTGGCAGCAGAAGCAAATGTCTGTAGTGCTGACCCTGCGCAGCAGACAGATAAGATGTCAAAGGTGGCAGATAATTCAAAGGTTACACCCAAGACGGCTGTGGTTGGCCTTATAAGCCAGCTAAAACCTGAAGTATTTGACAGCATTGTCAAAATAATGCAAGATGTACAAAAAAACACTGTGAAATTTTACATCCATGAAGAGCACGAGAGCACACTTTGTAAAGAAATAAAGGTATGTTTTCCTTTCTTATGAAGCTTGTGTGCGCATGTGAGTCATTTGTATGCTTCCCCTGAGTATTTGAGGAAATACAGTTGCGCTCAGTGAGTACAAATAGGAAAAGTTTAAGCGAGAAAGTTCTCTGTTCACATGTTTGCTTGTTGTGTGCTTTGTAATTTATATCCTGATTTCAATGTTATTTTGGTATACCATCTATGTGATATATTTGGGAAATGATAGAGACATAATAAGAGTAATACAGTGAGACCCCAGTGTACGCTGGGGTTACATTTTTGGCCAGATCACCATTATCTGAAACTGTGGATACAACAGAACACCATTATATTACCTGAATTCTGGTCCCATCATATGCCATAGAATTGCCCTGGATGACCCAAACATTCCTAGAATGACAATTTTTCTTTGGGCGCAGGAAAGTGAAACCGTAGATACAAGTTCCACGGTTACAGGATCTTACTTTAAATTAGTACTTAATAATTTGTATACACGATGTTAGCATAGTTCTTAAAACTCAAGAAAACTTTACAGTGTGTTACATAACTAGTCTTTAAAACACCTGTTTCAAATAGATGCATTAAGGAATGAGAAGAATACATTTTATTTTGAAGAGTAAAACAGATGAAATAATTTGGTTTTGCAAATATTGATAATATTGATAGTGGCTTTTGTTTTGCTTGATTTTGCATGCCAAAATGAATTTTCTTAAACTTCAGAAGTTTATACCTACCTTTGTAAGAAAAAATTAAATTAAAAAAATGATTTTGCTGTTATTTTCTGAATAAACCGAATTTGTCAATGACATTTTTATGCCAAATCATGTTATGCAGTATGATTGCTGTACCCATGGATCCAGCTACCTTCATCAAACAAAATATGTTCTCTAGGAATGTTCTAGGTATTTGGGTGGAAGTCATTCATTTGAATAGTGTTCACTGTTATCCAGTTTCCTGTTCCCATAATAAGTTCAGAAATGTATCCCACATAGAAAAGTGGGATACATTTCTATACCTTATTGTTCTCGCTCTTTCGTTGTGTTCTATATAAAAATTTAATAAAATTTCTTAAAAAAGAAAAGAAAAATGTATCCCACATAGATACAGGCAGTCCCAAGTTAAAAACGTGTGTGTGTGTGTGTGTGTGTGTGTGTGTGTGTGTGTGTGAGAGAGAGAGAGAGAGAGAGAGAGAGAAACAAGCTTTCGATGGCATAGGGGTTAACACCCCTGTGGTGTTTGTTTTGCTGTTTGTGCCCCTGTTCAAAAGATTTCACCTCACTTTCTGTCTGTATGATGATTGGATTTTGAAAAAAATAGCTTGTTGTGGAAACAAGGATTGGTGTGAAAGCTTCAGTGGAGACATCTTTTCCCCATGATAACTCTCTCAGGAGTAAATTTTCCTTCCAAGGGGAAGTTTCCTCTCACTTTCTGTTGGCTCACCCCTGTTCTAAACTATTGGATGTTTGTAATTCGGATGTTTGTATTGCGGGGACTGCCTGTACAAGCGTCATGCTGTTCTTCACACGTTTTATATTCTTAAAGTAAGCAAGTATATTTCGATCATGAACTGATGCTAATTTTGACTCCCTCCCCCCATTTTTCTGTACCATTCCCCAGAATAAAATGGAAAATGTCGTGTGTCCCCCCCCTTAAAATGTCTTAATGTGTTCCGTCTTTAGTCAGAATGCTGTAATTATAGTTTTCAAAGGTGTGCTGCCGTGTGCTGTTTTACTAAATTATCTCCTTGTATATAGAGCTGCTTACTAAATTTAATGAATACCAAGTTCATTTTCTTATTTGGTGGATATTTTGAATGAATTATATTAGTTTAATGGTTTCTCTGCTTGGTTTAGGAATATCTTACTAAATTAGGTAATACAGAGTGCCATCCTGAGCAGTTCTTAAGAAGAAGAGCTGATTTGGATAAATTGCTTATTATTATTCAAAATGAAGATATTGCCAATCTAATTCATAAGGTACGTAAAACTCTTGGGTATTGAGATGGCTGTGCAATTTGTTGTTGTCCCAGGCAATCTGAATGGTGATTATTCATTTATTGGCATTCACAGCCAGAATCATTTGTGTGAGTAGTGTTAAGAAAGTGCAGTAGGCAATATATACTTCCTTAATTTGATTTCTTTTTAGTACTGTCTAATTCTGACCACACGTTTTCTTTAAATAGATACCATGTTTAGTAACTTTGAAGAGGCTTCCATGTGTCAGCTTTGCTGGTGTTGACAGTCTGGATGATGTAAAAAATCACACTTACAATGAATTATTTGTTTCTGGTGGCTTCATTGTCTCTGATGAATCGGTTCTCAATCCAGAATCTGTGACAGTTGGTAAGATGGACAGACACATTTATATTCAATACAAAAAAGGGAAGAATGTGAAAAAATTTCAGATCCATAATGTGTCAATTTAAAGTCTGTGTGCAGTTAGCCTGATATGTCTGTAATTTTACTTTTGTTTGTTTTAAAATATTCTTATGGAAATCTCCTGTGTAAAACATTCTACACCTTAAAGGCGGCACCAGATACCTTTTTATTTTGGAACCTAAACATGGGCATTTCTGGTTAGTACTGAGAAAGGAGGCTGCCAACTAATACCAGTTCTTACAGACTATATTCCAGAAGAAGAAACTGGCAAAATCACATGAGTATACTTTGTCTCAGAAAACCCTATAAAATTCATGAAGTTGTCATAAGTCGACAGATAAAACAAGGGCAATACATAACACGGAGAGTATTTTGTTTTTTACATTTTTTATCCAATAAATCCCTGAACATTCCTGAACATTGCTGGCACATATTGTCTGAGGCTTTTGAGAAATGAAATACCGATGATTTAAGACTTACTGACATTTTACATCACTAAAGGGCATTCATTTTGAAAACTTTGCTCAGCCATTTATAAAAGTTGTACAGGGTGCCTCCAATCTAAATACTGTAGAGACATAAAAACAAGTCAGACCCAACTATAGGACTACAGTTTTCAGTGGCATAGGTTTCGTATTATTTATTATAAATATATGTTTAAAATGGCATTCAAGTTGGGAACTTTTCCGTTAGTCTTTTTATAGCGAATAGTTTCAGATGTTAAGATGAAACATTCTTGATGTCTGAACCATAGACATCAGAAGTGGGTTTCAGGTGCCTACTTTCCATTCTCTTTCCTTCCTGACTTGTGTTAATCAAGCAGTGTTGAGAAATCTACATGTTTACTAGCTCAGATTATCAACAGCCACAGGTTTTTCTATGCATATAGATTCATTTCACATCTTGGTTAATCATGGTTAACACTGGTGTTGATGTAACACAATACAATGGTTAAATCAACATATTGAAAGGAGGGACAGGTTCCACATGGGAAGAGGAAAAGGGGCTTGCAATCTCACATACACTATTCCACTTGGGAGACAGGAATATTATGAATGACCTGAATAGATATACCAAGAGCTGAGAAAAGTTGCAATGAAACAAAAGAAAATAGAAAAATGTTCAACTTGAATTGACATTGATCACTTGAATAGTACAAAAATTCATTTGGTGCAAACAGCTTGTCTCTTAGGTGCCCAATAGTATACACTGAGAAGTGCGCAGATTAACAGCAATAACCTCCCTCCTTCCCCTTCCCCTAATATTCATAGGCACATGGTTTGTTGACATGATGACACATTGACATGAATATTATACATCTGTAAATTCGCCTAATCCACTTTATAATCATCTAAGATAATTGCCATCATCACATTTACCTTTTTGTTTCCCAAATTAGATAAACTTAGCAGTTTTCTGAAATTCCTTGAAGAGCTTAGCACACCTGATGGAAAGTGGCAGTGGAAAGTTCACTGCAAAATACAGAAAAAATTGAAGGAACTTGGAAGGTGGGTATTATTTCTTAATGATTCCAAATAAAAGAAACATAATGAAATACTGTCACTTGCTCAGTTTAGGAATATCTCTGATAAAATCAAGTCATGGTTCTGTTGTTCCATCAGTTGTTTTGCATCTATATTCAGTGATTCCAAAAATATATTTTCTTAGATATTATCTTTCTTTCTTATACTTCATTATTTATGCTTGTTCTCCCTCTCCATTTTTTAAATTTTAAAGTATGTTCTTTTCCCCATATCATAAATGCATTTTTCATGTTTTTAGGCAAGGCTTTGCTTTCACATAAAGTTTTAATATACCTAGTTTTTAATTTTTTTTTCTGAAAAATTAAGAGTCTAGCTTGTTTGCTTGGTCTACATTTCCCTACTTTATGAAAAATACAACCACTACACCTGCTTTTAAACAAAGAAGACTCCTTATTCTTTCCCTGCAGAACAAATGCCAGTGCCACTAATTTGCTGACGCTTCTGAATACGTATCAAAAGAAGCATATGGTTGAGATCCTGTCGTACCATAGCTGTGATTCTCAAACTCGGAATCCTCCAGAATTAGACTGCCTTATAAAACTTCAAGCTCAGAATATACAGCAGAGGCACATTGTCTTCTTGACAGGTAAAATATCACTATGAAAATGATCATTAAAAATATATATATTTCTGGCATATATTGAAGCAACTTTTATTCATTCTCTCTGTATGTAGAAAAGAATGTGTTAACAACCTCTTGTGCTGAAAACGGAATAGTGGTCGCTTCGGTGGATTTCTTCATGCAGAACTTTAGAAGTCTTGTTGGCTACCATAACCTGATCACTGAGGAAAACTGCCTTCCTCTCCCAGTTGATCCTCAGAGACAGTCAGGTAATACCACATTTCTTTGATTTTGTTTTCATGAGAGTAGCTAGAAGAAAGGGCTGGTAGAGTCTGTCTATCCTTAAATAAGTAAAGGAATAGTGTATCCAAATTATAGATCACAATTTGATGATGAAATAGGATAGTAATGATATGTGATCGTTTAGCAGGGCCTCCAAAGAAATCCCATTTGATATAGAGGGGTTATTGTAAAGCTTGTGAAGAATTGGTTGAAAAACTAGAAGAAAGGATGTCAGTAATTTGTTAATTTTTGCCTCAAATACTGACTTACTGTATAACTTTAGATGCTGTTTGACATTAAATCCTTTGGAGCCGGAAGTTGGGTTTCCCAACAATAAGCATGAACACATTTCGCAGAAGCTTTTAGCATCGGAATATCCGGATGGTCACAGAGGGTTAAATGTCTGTTGAGTACAAAAATGACAGAAGACCAGCCCTTAAGTGATATACGACTTTCTGACCTGAAGCCTAACTGTGTGAGTAGTGCGTAGTATTTTGAAACACACTTTATATTCAATAGAGTAGGATTTTTCTCTTCTTAATGTAGCTCCCATAGAAAACGAAAAGGATGAGGAGGACATGTCTTTGGATTCAGGGGATGAAACATCACAAATAGAAGTTTGCAATGATGCCTCAAAGTATGACTCTCACGTGAAAGCTTTTGAGACAGAGGCCAAAGGACTCCATGGAGCAGACTGTGATCAAAATTCTCAAGCTGATGCACTGTTGCCTGCTGAAGGACGACACTGCCTTCTGACTGAAAAAACATCTAAAATTGATATGCAGGATATACAACCTGTTACACCTGTCTCTACAACACGTCCTGTTGAAGGAGAGAGAACTAATTCAATAGAACAAGTTCCTCTCAATAACTTTCAGATTTACAATAGACAGCTAAGCGTGCCCCATCAGTTCAGTCACTTTAATGTTCTCACTCATCAGACATTTCTGGGACCAGCATACCCCATGTCTACAAATCAAAACCAAGAAGGTGGGAACTATTTCCTGTCTGCCTACAGTCAGAACCTAAACATGGGCCAGTCTCCATCTCCCAATAGCTGGGATATCAGACCGTTTTCCAAACAGAATTAAGTAAAGCTAAAATGGTTTTTAAAAATAACTCGTTGTGGACTTTTTTGTTCAAAAAAGTGGATTAGCAGTTTCTATTATCCGATCTGTCAAACATTTCCTGTCTATCTCAAAATGTTTTCTTGTTTAACTTAAATCATGAATGGTCTGTATCAGGTGAAGCACCTGAAGTTTGAAATAAATATATATATTTTTAAACATTTAATGTACTTGAATGAACTTGTTTGTTGGCACTTTTAAGTTTTTACATTTTGTAGTTCATTTGTAATTGAGACTTCCAGCTTGAAGTCTGTCTTACTGTAAAGTGAATGTTTGCTTGAAGCATATGTGAAAGAAGATGGCTTCATTTTTAAAGAAAAGTGTAACAGGATATTGAAACCACTTTTTCTTTATCAAAGCTATTACGTCTGTATGTTAAAGTTTTGTACAAAATCTTTATATATAGTTATAAAGGCAATTATAGTTACTTTAACAAGTATTTTGGATTTTTGGCTACATACCTCAGTTACAACAACCAATGGTTAGTTTTGATTTTGAAAATAAAAAAAGTCATCCAGATGGGACCTGGTAGCAAGTTGCATTTTGTCTTGCAATCTGACTTGAGTAAACGGATATAGATTAATGAGGTCTTCTCGGCTTGGTTACTATAACTCAGATTATATTTCACCATCAAATCTGTAGTAATGCATACTATGATATAAGATTACTTTTCTAAGCTGAGCACTGAAATTTATCTTACTAGAGATACTAAAATTTAACTGCATACAGATACTCAGGTAATTGTTCATCAGTACTTGAATGCTAATCTTGTGCAGAAAGGGTGGGGAATATGAAGTTCTCTAGCTACGGTTGCATTGCTGCTTTCAGTGTTCCTTCTCATCGGTTAACTAGGGTTGATGGGAACTGAAGCCCAGAAACATTAGGAGAACCATTCTTTTTCATCTTGGGCATGTTGAACTGAACCAGTGGTTTCACTGAAATATCTGGATTTATTGAATTTGGAGTTGTATTATAAATTCAATGCACTATTAAGTATAGGCTTAGTATTGAACTGCCTTGATCATGGGATTCTGTCTCTGATCTTGAAAGATTTTTTTCAACAGCGTCACAACTCGAGAAAGCTGCGGTATGTAATCACAGACTTCACATGATTAGAGTATTCCACTAAAAGATTTGCATCCTTTGTGTACATAAAATTGAAATTTCCCATCAGCTGATGTGCAGCATTTCACAATATGATCTATGTCGTGATTTATGTCATGTAGTAAATGTTGGTATGTTTCAACACTTGAAAAATCTATCCTTTTCAGTGTATCATATACCATTTCTGCTTTAAAATAGTACATTAAATGGTGTGCAATAGAAAATAAAGCTAAGCTGCAGATCTAATAAATTTAAGGTATATAATGCTGAAGTTGACATTGGTAACCTGAGATTTAAAATATACAGGAGAGAGCCTGTAAAAAGCTTTGGAAAAAAGGATGGGGGAAGACAAACTTTGGTAATGACTGTTTGATTTTGACTACATACTGTTGAGGGTACTTTTCCTGCAAGGCAGGGGGCTGGACGGAATGGCCCATGTGGTCTCCTTCAACTCTATGATTTTATGATATGCGTGTGAGCTTAGAAGAAGTGAGTTGAATAATCTGAGAAGTGATATATATATATATATATATATATATATATATATATATATATATATAATAGAACTATGTCTTTCTGTCTACCACAAAGGCTGTTGCTAGGTGAAGTCATTGGGTTGACTTGCAAGGTAAAGGATTGGCCATTGCTAGGTGAAATGGCCCTCTGTGATGTCACAGGGAAAGAAAAGTGATGTGTATGAGGGGAATGGAGGAAACTGCCATGGAGAAGGGAGAAAGTGGACAGGATGTGGTCCTATCAACACCCAGACAATGCTGGGTATTTACACTCATTGTTAGATAAAGCAGTTGGCTAGATAAATATTTAATGTAGTAGTAAAAAAAATGAAGAGACATATTCCTTTCTGGGGACTATGATCCATAATATAAATCTTAAAAGTAGTAGGTTTAAAATGTTGCTGTAGAAAGAGTGACAGAAGAAGCAGAGAGGGTAGCTGTCAGATATTGCAATTCAACTCCCATAATCTGGGAATTGACTATTCTGGTTAGAGCTGCTGGGAATTGGCATCCAGAACATGAGGGAGACATACATACCTTAGAAATGCTATAGAGAATAGGAAAGGAGCAGTTAAATTTGCACAGGATAAAGAAATATGAATTTTAAGAGAAGCTGTTTCTGTTGCGAGTGGAAGTTGAAATTCTATTACCTGTCTTATTGCTGTTAGTTCATAGCCCTCATATGGCCAGTAAGTGCAATGGACTTAGAATCCCTCAATACCACCTTAATTAAAAGAATCTTAGGTTGCAGGCCATGTTTTTCCTGTATGACTTTTATCATTTCGCCTGATGAAGAAGCCTGTGAGGCTTCAAAAAGCATGCATAACGTTTCATGCTTTAGAGGTGACCCAAAAGAGAGATAGCTGCTACTGGATTTTTGGCTTTAGTTCTGTTTGGTGCACAGCACATATGGCTACTTCTGGATATTTTTGATAGGGAATACGGTGCAGATAAAGAGAAGAATATACAGAATTTACATAAAATTCAAAGGAGTTGAAATAAAACATACACTCTTTTGTGGAAGAACAGTGGTGTGTGTATTTAAATATTGATAACTGTACAGCAACATTAAAACAAACATGTAAATAGCCAGTAAATAACCTAGTCAGTCGTGGCAAAAATGGACTCTTTTCCAATAAACCAAGCAGGGAAATGTTGAAAACATTATCAGTGTTCAGTAGTAGCTTGGTTGCCTTTCAAATCCATACTCAACTACGAAGCTCCTTTGATGAACTTATATTAGTCACCTTTTTTAGCCTAGCTTACTTCTTAGTTCAGTGTACATATTGCTACTCTTTGAGTATGCATAGGCCAAGTTGGAAATTGCTTTTGTAGTTTAAAACTCCAGTATCTGTTTACAAGTTTATATTTTCTTTATTCTTTAAGCCTTCAAATTCCATGGTAAATGATGTCAAGAATTGAAAGCTATTGTAAAAGGCAAAGCTTGGGGGTAATTCCAGGTTCAAGGAAGTCTAAATAAACCACTATAGTGGTGATAGTGTTACTCAAACTGGCACCGAGCTGTGTTTAACTCTAATTATATGCTCTCATAATTCTCTTTGTGGAAAGAGATCCACTGATCAGATTAACACTGAGTTGTTATTGTAATGTTGAAGAAACCTCTTGGCCCTACTTCCTCTTTGGCATGATTTGTCATCCCCAGCCCTCCTAGAGCACCAATATAAATGTTTAATGTAAGTTGATTTGAGTGTAGAACTAGGGCTATGGCAGATAAAGGGATTTAATCCCTGCTCACCCTTGAAAGCCCACTTGGAGACCACCTACTGTTTACCTACTGTTGTAGTCCCGTGTGACAGTCGGCTAGATAAGCGGGGGAAATCTGAGAAAGGAATATATAATTTATGTGATGTTACTGTGAAGAGATTGGTAGTATAAATAAATACTGCAATATAGCTGAGTTAGCTTTTTCATGTTGTTGAAAATTCTTTTCTGGCTGTAGTTAAATTGGATCTAGAAAATTTGAAGTTCTGTCTCTGAAATAATACTGTTTCTGTACAGTAATAATATTCCAAATTCATAATGGGCGCTTGTCTGGATATGTCTAATGTGACTGTGGTGAACCACCTGGTTCAATAAAAGTACTTGTAGCAAACTCTTAATGGCACTCAAAGGTTACATCTTCCTGTCTTCCATTACATTCCTTGGTGTGATGTCTTTCTTGATAGTAATATATGGAATGAGGAGAGTGTTAAACTAAACTTCACCTCTCAAGGCTACCTGGAGTGTGTTCCATGTCATAACCATGACAACCATAAGTGATGGAAGTCTGACCTCTAGGGCACCTTGGTGAGGATAAGGTAAGGCTGAATGGCAGAACAAACAGATGGAACTAGAACACCATGAACTCTGCTCTTCAGAAGTGAAGTCTTAATACAGGCATATCTTGGTTAAAAAGTAGATGGATTCCTGGATATTACTACTTTATCAGAAACGTTGATACCGAAGGCAGAAATAACCTGGAAAGCATAGAGATAGGTTCCTACGCCACAAAAAAAAAGAAAAAAAGAAAAGAAAAGCAGCTTGAAGCCATTTCAACAGACTATTTTTCCTCAGAACGAAAGGTATGTGAAATGAAACAACTAGATCAGGTAAGCGTTTCATGAGTAAAAAAAATAATATTGGGAATCGTAGAGACCACTTCAGGGCTTCTTCCAAAATGCATCCAGGGTTTTTTTCCCCCTTCTGGCTTTTGTCAAAAATTCAATTTTGGTTAACAAAATTACCAATCCGTACTTTTAAAAACATGTGTGGCTTGTCTGTTCTGTGCTTTTCTCTCTGCTTCCTTAACCATTCACACATGTTCATTAAGATTCCAAAGACAGCTGCTTTTTAACCTTGCCTGTTATAAGGACGCACATGTCTATACAGTGCCCCTTTATATTTGCGGTTTTTACTTTTGTAAATTTGGTTATTCACAGATTTGATTAAAGTGTTTTCACTAGGAATCCCTAGGTTCCCCAGTGGGACTCATATTAAGAACTTCTTCCAGTCATGCAGGAACTTCTTCCAGTCATGCAGGAAGAGACTTTTAGAGAGAACACCTCTCCAGCAATGTCTAAGTTCTCAATTGCTATTCTATGGTCGGCTTCCAGCAAATGTTGACCATAGAGTCATGTTGGAAAAACTAGAGGTTCCTGGAAAGGGGTTCTCTCAATTTTTTTTTAAAAAAAACCAATTTCTGTATTCCCAATTTTTCACTTTCACTGAGATTCTGTGATCTAACCCCAGCAAATGTGGAGGACTGACTGTAGTTGCATCAGCTAGAATGGAATCCTGCTCTTTTCCTGATTAAGCTTTATTGGTTGCTGCACACATTCACCTGCAACCCCAACAGTTTGTGTTTCTCCAGTCCTTGGCAAAGGACCAGAGACAGGGGAAAACATAATAAAAGGAAGCTTCTTTTTCAGAAGGCATGTTAACTGATGTATACTTAAACAAAAGCAGAAAAACAGAATGGCATATGTTTCTGTAAATAAGCTACCAGTTGGATGAATATTGATTTGTATTCTATAGTGTTTCTAAATTGTATATACTTAGGCAGGGAAAGTGATCTAAAGTGATCTATGTCTACCATCTAATCTATGCTCTTTCTCGGTCAACGCTGTTAAGACTTCTTCCCTTCCCCAAAGTTTCATTATTAAGCCCTGCCCAACTAATCACTGCACCAGTATATCTTTATATATCCAGTAGTGTGGGTTGCTCCTCCCAGCCATCCCAGAATCATACTTCATGGTTCTCAAGATGGCATCGCAGAATTGATTCACTCAATAATGGAACTTACCAAAACCCTTTTATAAGGGCAGGATGTCCATTAAGATATGGCTTCCTGAAATACTGATCACTCAAATGCTGGTTTGGCAGATCTGTACCTATCCAATTCATAA